ATGTGTTCCCACAGCCCTTAATTGTGTCTTAGCTAATTTTCTAAAGGTCTTAATGTCCCTGACTGAAACTACACAGAATGTTGATTGCAATCTTAAACTTGAATTGGCAGTACTTTAGCTGGTGTGTTTTTTCCTAGTGGTGAAACTTCATTGTTACTTTGAAAAGCAATCTTTATAACTATACGTGATTGAATATGGTATGAAGGTATCTAAATGTAATTTTAATCCTTAATATGATTATTGAAAAGTCTACTGAAAACTTCTATAATAAAAATTAAGAAAAAATAAAAAATGAACTATTCATAAAAGGAAAGGACAAGAACCGTGGGGCCCTCGCATGAGCAGTCTCCTCGAGGTCTTGCCTTCCAAGGAGAGACTCATTGTGGCCTTGCTTAACAATGAGTCCTTCATGCTAGGGTCCCTCACCGTTCTGTTCCTTGATGGCATGGCCTCTGCCAGGTGGTCTTCCTCTTTTTCTATAACCCTCCACTTTACCAAGCATGATGTCCTTCTCCAGGGACTGGTCCTTCCTGAAAGCATGTCTGACGTATGAGAGACAGAATCCTGGCTTATAAGTAGCATTCTGGCAGTATGTCTTCCGACACAGTTTTATTTGCTCTTCTGGAAGTCCATGATACTTTTAATATTATTTGCTGACACCACAATTCAAATCCCTCCCTTCTTCTCCAGTCTTCCTTATTCATTGTCAAACTTTCACATGGATACGAGGCTATTGAAAATACTAATGCTTGGATCAGATGCTCTTAATACTCAAACTGGTATCATTTTTCTTGAACACTTTAATGAGGTCTTGTGTAGGGGGATTTGCCTAATGCAGTATGTCATTTTGATTTCTTGACTGCTGTTTCCATGTTGTTGTTGTTAAGTGTCATCGAGTCTGTTCTGACCCATAGCGACCCTGAACAGGGTTTCCGAGGCTGTAAATCTTTATGGGAGCAGAAAGCCTCATCTTTCTTCCACGGAGCAGCTGGTAGTTTCGAACTGCTGACCTTGCAGTTTGCAGCCCGATTCGTAACCACTATGCTACCAGAGCTCCTTGTTTCCATAAGCATTGATTAATACCATTAATATTAGCTTATTACTACATGTAAGACTCTGTTCTCAGCATTTTGTGTTTAGACTGTATTCCCTGTTCAACCTCACAACAATCTTGAAGTTGTTAGTGCTGTTGAGTCTGTTACGACTCATAGCCCCCCAGTATAGGGTTCCCGAGGAGTGGCTTGTGGTTTTGAACTACCAACCTTTCAGATAGAAGACCAATGCTTATCCTACAACACTATACCAGGACCTGAAGTAGGTGAAGTTTATTATTATTATTATCTACAGATGAGGAAACTGAGATACAGAAAGTTAGGTCTTTTCTCTTTGGAGTCTTTTCCTGGTTAAGGGTCAGGAGCTGTTTTAGGGCTGGGTTTTCTAGAGAAACAAAACCATTGATATATATATATACACAGAGAAAGAGAAAGAGAGAAAGTTTATATCAAGGAAATGGTTTACAATCCTAAAGTGGTCAGCCCCAAGTCCAAATCCAGCAGGGAGAAAAAGCAAGTATTTCCTGCATGTCTATTATATTGGAAACAGGCCACACACCCAAGTAAACAGCCTTTCAATTGATTGGCTGATCATAGCCAATCATCATAGAGTTAACTATCACCTGCCAAACCACGGGGAATCCTGGCCCCATCAAGTTAACACAGAACCTTAAACTGTCACAGGAACTCTCACCATACCTTTCAAGGGACATCAAGTTCGGTCCCATTTTACAGTTCACAGTGGTGAGGCCCCAGATTCTGTTTGCCATCTCCTTTCTCTCCTCTACTATCCTTCCTCCCTTCCGTCCCTGCTATTCCCTACCTTCCTTCAGTCTCCTTACTTCTCTTCATGTATACTTCACTTTGCTCTTGATCATACCCTAACTTCCTGCCATCCCCCCAAAATATCCTATGAGACAAACTAAATTGTATGTCTTTAGAGTTTCAAAACCAGACACCTCTCTCCAGGTGATCTGCCTTTAAGAGCAGACTGTGGAGAGTGGCAGAGAGTAGATTAGTAAATTCTTTTCTTAGTTACTATCACCAGAAAAGGAGCTCTGGTAGCGTAGTGGTTGTTACGAATCGGGCTGCGAACCTTAAGGTCAGCGGTTCGAAACTACCAGCCGCTCCGCGGGAGAAAGATGAGGCTTTCTACTCCCGTAAGGATTTATACCCTCGGAAACCCTGTACAGGGTCGCTATGGGTCGGAACCGACTCGACGGCACTTAACAACAACATCACCAGAAAAGAGTCCTGGCATGGTGCTGTGGGCTAATGTGTCAGACTGCAAAGTCATTTGAACTGCAAGGTCAGTGATTCAAGCTCACCACCTGCTCATTGGAAACCCTATACAGGGTCGCTATGGGTCGGCATCGACTCCACGGCACTTAACAACAACAACACCAGAAAAGAGTCCTGGTATGGCACTGTGGGTTAATGCTCTGGACTGCAGTCAGTTTGAACCACAAGGTCAAGCAGTTCAAGCTCACCAGTCACTCCTCGGAAACCCTATGCTGGGTGGCTATGGGTCGGAACAGACTGGACAACACTTAACAACAATCACCAGAAAGGACTCCTAGTGCATCGCTGTAGGATCTGCACTGGGCTTCAAACCACAGGTAGACAATTCTAACCTACCAGCTGCTCCTCCAAAACCCTATGAGTTGGAATTGACTCAATGACACTTAACAGCAATGACAATAATCACCCAGAAAGAGTCCTGGTAGCATGGTGGATTACAAGCTGGGCTGCTAACCACAAGATCAGTAGTTCAAATCTACGAGTCACTCTGTGGGAGAAAGTTGAGGCTTTTTGCTCCCATAAAGATTTGCAACCTTGGAAATAATATACAAGGTTGCTATGAGCAGGCTAAGGATGGGTCTGAGGCCATTCACGGACAGGGAACCCCTGTGCTTTCCAGATACACTTCCCAGGGGAAAGTTACTATTTCCTTGTTCTAGGGAACCATCAAGAATGTTGCAGGGTCTTCACAGAGGTCCATGCCAGTTCTACTCTTGACCTGCAATTTCAAGAACCTTCAGAATTGAGGGTATCTTGTTCTCTTCTCCTTCATTGACACAGATGAATCTGGTCCCTCATCAAGCATTTTCTTACCACGTACTGTGTGCCAGGCACTGCTTGAGTGCTAATGCCACCAAGATAAATGAAAATCAGTCTCACCCTGACAAATGGTGGTGATGGTGGTGGTGGTGGTTTGTGGTGCGCCATGGGGTTAATTGGTTTTTGAGGCTTTACGGGAGCAAAAAGCCTCATCTTTCTCCAGCGGAACTGCTGGTAGTTTTGAACTGTTGACCTAGAGGTTAGCAACCTGACTCAAGCAGGAAGATTTGAAAGATTCCTGTGAGGATAAGCCTTCAGAGTAATTGTTAAATGCCACTAAATCGATTCTAACCCATAGAGACCCTGTATGTTGTTATTGTTACGTGCAGTTGAGTAGGTTCCTACCCATAGCCACCTTTCCGAGGTTTCCGAGGAGCAGCTGGTGAGCTTGAACCACCGACCTTGCAGTTCAAACGGCTTTGCAGTCTGGTACATTCACCCACAGCGGCACACCAGGACTGCATAAATAAAATAAAACTGAAGTTTTATTTTACTCCTTACTGGCTATGAACAATGCCCCTTTGAGATTCGATCCTGAATAATTCTGGCGGTCTGGGGCTCTGCGCTTACACGCCCTCTGCTTGGCGGGATTTCAGTTTTGGATCTGAGTGCTGTCGAAACCCTGCTGCAGAAGGAACCAGGGTTCCTCAATCACCCGAACAGCAACCCAAGCGCAGGAACTGACATCTGCTACAAAGAGGTGGCGGTTTCCCTCCGCAGCGCGAGAAACCAGGCGGGGGCGGGGCGGGGCGGGGCGGGGCAAAGGGAGGCTAGAGGGCCGGCGCACACCCACAGCTCAACGCTTGAAGGGTGGCCAAGGCGCGCTCGCGATCGCTGTGTCTCCTTCCGGCCATTAGTTCGGTCTCCATTAAATCCACCTACCCTGTTTCGCATTTTGGGAAGCCTTCAGGGATGGCCAGCCCTAAGTATAAACGTGTACTTGGCCTCCCTCAAGCTAGGGCCAACGACCAGCTGAATCTATACATCTAACACCCCAAAGAGCAGCCTGAAGCAGGAAAATGAACCAACCAGCTCACCTTTTACTGCTCCTGGAGTGTTTTATATACGCTAATTCTCTTTCCCTGACAGCATCATGTTAAGTGATACAGTCTCTTTGGTGTTACTGTGAGTGGCTCTGAAAAGAGCCTTTGGATACGATGGAACTTCGAGGTGAGCGCGCAGTTTAACTTAAGCCCGCTCTCCGCGGATGCGGCGGGCCAGCTGGATGTCCTTGGGCATGATGGTCACGCGTTTGGCGTGGATGGCGCACAGGTTCGTGTCTTCAAACAGCCCCACCAGGTAGGCCTCGCTGGCCTCCTGCAACGCCATCACCGCCGAGCTCTGGAAGCGCAGGTCGGTCTTGAAGTCCTGCGCGATCTCGCGCACCAGCCGCTGGAACGGCAGCTTGCGGATAAGTAGCTCGGTGGACTTCTGGTAGCGCCGAATCTCCCGCAGGGCCACGGTACCTGGCCGGTAGCGGTGAGGCTTCTTCACACCACCGGTGGCCGGGGCGCTCTTTCGGGCAGCCTTGGTGGCCAGCTGCTTCCTCGGGGCTTTGCCCCCGGTCGACTTGCGGGCAGTCTGCTTGGTACGGGCCATAGCGAACGAGAAGAGGAGCCAACAGACGGCAGGCTGAAAGAACAAGACCGACTGGCCGCCGCCGCAGTCTTTATAGGCGCAGTCTCTCCCCCGATTGGGCGGAGCTACAATTGAAAGTCCCGCGCTGACTGTCCATTGGCTGTGACGTCACGGCGTCACCGGCGGGCTCCGGTACCGTACCCCTCCTTTTACACTTAGTCAAGTTTTTCTCCCGGGTTTCTCTTATTCTGTAACATTTTTGATTGCAGACGCGTAAAGTCCGTTTTTCTACTTTTAGGACACACAGTCCGTGACACCCTCTCCTGAATTGAACGTTCGTTCCCCCAAAAGTGCTTTACTACCATTTCACAGCCCTGTTCCCTACTCTGGCTGTTTTCTCCTGGTCGGGGCTTTTCAGCTCGTGAAGTTGTCTCTTCCCAGGATACGAGGTGCCACAAACTTTACTTTCCTAGAGACACCGGGCTCAGCCTAGCCGAGACTGAGGTCAGCTACACTCCCCGGAACAGTGACAACGTCCCCTTCATACTAGGGTCATGTTACGTAGCCGGATAAAACTCGAGCACAAGCAAGTTGTCGCGCACTCGCGTACGAGCGCTGCCCAGGTTCTTATAGTTAAACCACTGCAGACAGCGCCTAAGATGTTTGGTGCCCCCACCTGGGTTTAGCCCTAGGACGTGCAGTTGATCCGTTAACTCCACAAGCTTATGAGAGGAAAGCTCCCATCCAGCTCTGTATTTTAGGACTATCGGGATCCAGGACATTTGCTGTCCAGGAAGGCAGGAATGTGACTCGCCGTTGGTGTGGGGCTGGTAGGTAAATATTGACCTGCCAGTCACTTCTCGGAAACCATATATAGCTATGAATCGGAACCAACTCGATAGCATCAACTACTTTAAACAGGGAGCGCAGTGAGTCCACAGAATAAGCGCTGGACTGTTAATCACAGACCACGGTTCAAATCCACCAATAAAAATTGACTTTGTTTCCGCGAAGATTTAAAGTTTCGGAAAACCTGTTCAGGGGGCGCCAGTAATTCGAACTGAGTGCACCTAACTACTTTGGTAACAACTCTTTCACCTGACACAGTGGGTGGCTCTGAAAAGAGCCTTTGAATTCAGGTAGCCCTTTAGAACACGGGCAGGGTAAGCTTCCGAGCGTGGGCCTCACTTGCCCTTTGCCTTATGGTGGCTCTCCGTCTTCTTCGGGAGCAACACGGCTTGGATGTTGGGCAAAACGCCACCCTGGGCGATGGTGACTTTGCCCAACAGCTTGTTCAGCTCCTCGTCGTTGCGGATGGCCAGCTGGAGATGACGGGGGATAATGCGGGTCTTCTTGTTGTCGCGGGCCGCGTTGCCCGCCAGCTCCAGGATTTCCGCGGTCAGGTACTCCAGAACGGCCGCCATGTAGACTGGCGCACCAGCTCCCACCCGCTCAGCATAGTTGCCTTTGCGGAGAAGGCGGTGGACTCGGCCCACCGGGAATTGAAGGCCTGCGCGGGACGAGCGGGACTTGGCTTTGGCGCGAGCTTTGCCTCCTTGTTTACCACGGCCAGACATGACAGCAACGTCCGCCCTCACCAGACCTGTCTCGAAAGTAAAGGAAAAAGACACCAAACGCCGTTGCTTCACCCTTTTATAGGCACAACTGAGCTTGTCTACGGACCATTTGGATTGGCTTAAAAGCATTTTTGTTCTGACGACCAATAGAGTAGCTTAGTTAGAATACACTCATTTACATAATGGCGCCCGCCTCATGATAGCGTCACGGAAAACGCGCGAATCACAGTGTGGCGTGGTCAGAACCCTCATTTGCGTACAGCTTTTATAAGTACCGAGTCGATTGCGGCAGGTTTTGTGCGCCTGTTGTGTTCCTTGTTGTCTGCTATTCTGCAGTCTGTTTTCTGAACCATGCCTGAGCCAGCTAAATCCGCCCCGGCTCCCAAGAAGGGCTCTAAGAAAGCCGTCACCAAGGCCCAGAAGAAAGACGGCAAGAAGCGCAAGCGCAGCCGCAAGGAGAGCTACTCCATCTACGTGTACAAGGTGCTGAAACAGGTTCACCCTGACACCGGCATCTCATCCAAGGCTATGGGTATCATGAACTCCTTCGTCAACGATATCTTCGAGCGCATCGCCGGCGAGGCGTCCCGCCTGGCGCATTACAACAAGCGGTCGACCATCACGTCCCGGGAGATCCAGACTGCTGTGCGCCTACTGCTTCCCGGTGAGCTGGCCAAGCACGCCGTGTCCGAGGGTACCAAGGCTGTCACCAAGTACACCAGCTCCAAGTGAGTCCCTTCATGGGACCCGCCGCTCATGCAGTTTCCGGCGTCTTTGCTCCAAAGGCTCTTTTTAGAGCCACCCACTATATCAGTGAAAAAGCTGTCACACGTATTTTATGTGTCCCCGTTGTCTTTAGATTTAAAAATAAGTTAACGCTTTATTTAAAAAAAAGATTGGCGTGTGAAATGAAGTTAACGTCTTCCGGTCGCTTTCAAAACTGCTGTTGCACATTACACATGGAATGTTCGTGTGCCCTGCTGTTATCTTGTGAAACACTTTTTGCTGTATTAATTTTGGTTGGCTATGCAGTGTTATTAGGTATTAGGCTGTTATTAACCTAAAAGGCTGCTTGTTCTAATGTACCCAGCCGTTCAGCAGTAGAAAAAGCTGGCATCTGAGAAACTGGAACACTGCCCAGCTCAACATCCCCAAGTATATATGACAGTGACTATGTCCCGCTGCTATTCATAAAGTTATCAGCGGGTGACGACTCAGAATGGTCAGTTTCTCTTTTCTAGTCTGTTTTAAGGTGCTCTGGTAACGAATTGGGCTGCCAATCTCAAAAGTCAGGAGTTCGAAACTACCAGCGGTTCCGCTGGAGAAATATGAGGCTTTCTGCTACCGTAAAGATTAACAGTCTCGGAAACCCTGTGCAGCAGGGTCCCTATGTAAGGTACTGTGCAGAGTCCACTGCACGGCACACCATCACCACCAGTCTGTCCTAGTCTGGAAGCCTATCCACCACGCTTCTAGTATCTCAGCAACACATAAACAAACATAATATGACAAACTCTCGAAAGATGGCATTTATTTATTAGAAATGAAAATTCTCAAGTCCAGCAATCTAAAAAGGCCTGGAAACTGAATTGTGAGCTCCCGTCCCGATTTGCTTAGAGATAACTCTTTTGGAGTGGAATACTGACAAATGTAGGGGATTCAGATTACATTTTGAAAGGATTTGAAAGGTTTGACTGATAAATAAGGATTTGGTTATGAAATGAAACCCCTAGCTTTTGGGGTTGAGCAATTGGGTGGTAACTGGTGGTTTTAATTAGAATGCAATATTGGGCGGACTTCTAGGTTGGGGTATTTTGGAAAGGAGAACCACAATTCTGAGTTAAAATTCAGAAGCTCTTTGACAGCCAAATAGTATATGGAGTTGGCCATTCGAAAGACTCATTTAGGGCTCAGAAAAGACAACAAAACAATTACAAAATCTCCTAACTTTATTTCTTCTTAAGTGTTATGCTGAAATATAATTTAGTAATTGATAGCCCTGCAACATTTAGTGTTTCATTTTTCTCTAATTGTGTCCTGATTTTCACTAAATCCATTTTATTCCTCATGTTAAAGTAGTTCTCCAGTTTGGTTGCACATTGGAATTACCTAGGGAGTTTTAAAGAGTACTAATGTTTAGGCCCCACCCCAGAAATTCTGATTTAAGGGTCTGGGGTGCAGCTTGTGAAGCTACCAGGTGATTCCAATGCACATTCAAGATCGAGAACCACTACTACACGTGCTTCTCAGAAAGAAGCTCTTAGGGTTAGCCTAATTGATTTAAATATAGTCCTGATCCCCTTCCACAGTGATTAGTTCAGGAATTAAAAACAAAAACGTTGTCATTGAGCCAATTCCAATTTATGGCAACCTCATGTTTGTCAGAGTATCATTGTGCTCGCCCATAGGGTTTTCAATGGCTAATTTTTGGATGTAGACTACCAGACCATTTTTTGCGTCACCTCTGGATGGTTGACCCACCAATCCTTTAGCTGTCAGTCAATCAACTTCTAACTGGTTGCACCAGGGTTTAGAATTGGACTGCCTATTAAGAATTTATCTTTATACCCCAGAAAAAGGAAACAAAAATCCTCCCACTGGACCAATAAATGGCATCCCGATAAATGGAGAAAAGACTGATGTTGTCAAAGACTTAATTTTGGTTGGATCCACCATCAACACTCATGGAAACAGCAGTCAAGAAATTAAATGACATACTGCACTACGCAAAACTGCACAAGACCCTTTTAAAGTGTTCAAGAGCAAAGACGTCAATTTAAGAACTAAACTATACCTGACTCAAGCCATGGTATTTTCAGTAGCATCAGGCATATGCATGTGAAAATTGGACAATGAATAAGGAATACTATAGAAAAATTGATGCATTTGAGTTATGGTGGTGTTGTGAAGTGTCGTCAACTAGGTTCCTACCCATAGGGGCCCTGTATAGGGTTTCCAAGGAGCAACTGGTGAGCTTGAACCACCAACCTTGTAGTTCAAACCAATTTTGCAGTCCAGTGCATTAACCCACAGTGCCACAGCAGGACTCCATAGTTATGGTGTTGGAAAATACTAAAGGTACCATGGACTGCCAGAAGAGCAAACAAATCTGTGTTGGATGAAGTACAACTAGAATGCTACTTAGAGGCCAAGATAGCCAGACTTCGTCCCTCTTTTTCAGACATATTATCAGGAAGGACCAATCCTTGAAGAAGAACATTCATGCTTGGTAAAAGTGGAAGGACAGCAAGAAAGAGAGAGATCCCCAATTAAATGTATTGGCACAGTGGCAGCAACAGAGGACTCAAGTGTAGCAGCAATTGTGAAAATGACGCAGGCCTAGGTGGTGGTTCATTCTGTTGTACATAGAGTCATGATGGCACTTAACAACAACACTCCAGATAAACTGAGTCAGAAACTACATGTTAACAAGACCCTCTAGTTATTATTATGTACACAAAAGCAGCTTGTTTTAAGTGCTGTGAGTCGTTTCCAACTTATAGCAAACCCTGTATAGGGTCTTCCAGGAGCAGCTGATGCATTTGAACTGAACCTCATGATTAGAAGTCCAGTTCTTAAGCTACAGCACCACACCAGGACTCCTAATAAGCACCTGGGGATCTTAAAATGTAGATCTGATTCATATATGAGGTGGTGGTGGTTGTGTGCTATGGAGTTGATTCTGACTCATAGTGACCCTGTATAGGGTTTCCAAGGTTGTAAGTCTTTATAGGAGCAGAAAGTCTCATCTTTCTCCCCCGGAATGGCTGGTAGTTTCAAACTGCTTACCTTGAGGTTAGCAGCACAACTTTTAACCACTATGCTATAAAAGATAGAAATGCAAATTCTCAGGAGAAGGTTGAACTGCATGTAATGAACTGGTTCAAAGTTCTGGTTTACACCACCCAAGGACTCAGGAATATACATTAATCTCATTAACACAAAAAGGATCCCTGGTGCTGTTGTGATTTAAACTAACTCAAAGGTCAGCTGTTCAACCCACGAGAATTCAGCAGCCACTCCTGAGGAGAAAGATTATGCAATCTGCTTGTGTTAAGATTTACAGCCCCAGAAACTCCATGCAGCAGTTCTACCCTGTCTATAGGATGGCTATGTGTTGCAAGCAACTTGATGGCAGTGGGTTTGGTTTTGGTTAATTGGCACAAACATTTTAGAAATTGAACAGAGTGAACAATTTGTAGGAGAGTACAGATTGCTGTTAACCTTTAGGGAAAGAAGTTTGTTTTCAAAAGGCAGCAGCTGGATGGAGTGGTCTGTTATAGTATAAAGGCAAGAATGACTAAAACAACATGTAGAGGAGGAAGAATTAGAGAAGTTCACTCAAGAAGTTCAGCCAGTCTTGTAGCTTGCTGTGCCTTTGGATTTCCAGTTAGCCAGTTTGAGTATGACATGCTCTTTTAAAAACCAGATCGAGTCTTAAAATATTTGAAGAATTAATAACCTCCCATAGTAAAAGAAAGATGGTAGATCTTTCCGATTAAAATGTCTGAGGTCAAATTATTAAGTGCCATCATCAGTTCAGACTCATAGCTACACTGAAGAGGGTTTCAAAGGAGTAGACAACAGTTAAATGGGTAAATTAAATATGGCCTCCAAAGGTGTCTAAGTCATAAGCCCCCAAACCTGTGACTGTTACTTTATATGGTAAAAGAAACTTTGCAGATGTGATTTTGAGACAAGGATATTATCCTGGGAGGGATGAAGGAAGGTCCTATGCTAAACATAATCACCATGGTTCTTATAAGAAGGAGGCAAAAGACCAAAAAAAGTGATGGAAATAGAGATTTAAAGATAAATTGTTGGCTTTGAAGATGGAAATGGTCATAAGCCAAGGAATGCAGCTCTAGAAGAGGCGGAAAAGGCAGGATAGTTGTTCTACCCTAGAGCTTCTGGTGACAGCTTGGCCTTCATTTTGGCCTAATAAAACTGATTTTGGGTTTCTGACCTCCAAAAGTGTAAGAGAATAAATGTGTGTTTGAAACCACCAAGTTTGTAGTAATTTGTTATAGCAACCAT